TTATTTTTCTCAGTGTCCGGGTCTGTCTCAGTCATAATTTAATATAATAATATGAATGAGATAAAAATATATGAATTAAATCCAAATGATAAATATGATATTGTCAAGTGTCAAAATTATGATTTCTAATCTGATGAAATCACTTTTGAATTTAGTTTATTTTATGGGTCAAAGTTACAAATTTTACTATTTAAAATTGACATAACTTGAAATCTACAAATCAGATTGGTTTATAAAATGTACCGTTGGATTCGTCTCTTCGAGACATATCCATAAATATAACTTTTTTAACAAAAAGTCATTATTTTGAAAATCCATTTATTTTTAGTCAAACGTACAAATATTCCTTATTGGATAAAAACTACTTTTGTTTTATAATAAATTTTAGGCCATATTTTGTGGCGTTACAAATTGAGAGTAATTAATGATTAAAGTTTGTCTATTTTGACACCTTGCATAGTACACCCTCTGATTCGGGCTGCCCATTTCCATTTTATAATATACTAGTATGGAGTATAAAAAGTGAAGGACTTGGGTGGAAGTGTATTTTGATTAAGGATAAGAACCTTCAATTTTACGAACGAAGCATTATTGCAAATATGTTTCAATCGGAGTTAGTATTATCCGATGATACTTAGAGCACATGAAATACTTGTGAAGCCTCGGAGCTACAAATAGGGGCTTCATAATTTTTATCTCTGTCATGTCAGTTTTAATGACTTCCCTCACAATTTCAATGAAAATAAGTTTGAAGCCACGAGACTTAAAACTGGGACTTCAAATCAATATTTTTTATCTTTTGAATACACATTTAATAAACTTAAATTGATAATATTTTATTAATTAATTGAATTTAAACGATAATAATTTATTAAATAAAAAAATTACATTAAACAATTACATTATTTGAAGAAAAAATTCCATTAATAAAATAAGATTTGAATAATAACAACATAAATAAGAAATCAAAAATGAAATTATATTACGAATAATGAGAGCTCTTCTTTCATCATCATATAAAGATGATCTCATTTTTTGAGTATTTTGTAGAGAGAATTGAAAGAAATAGAATATGTTTTGGAAGAATTATAGAGAGAATGAGAATGTGTTTTGTGTGTAATTTTTTTTAAATAAGGGGTAATTATTGTTGAAATTTTAATGTTTTTTTAGAAAATTTCCCAATGACCTTAATTTGGACCGTTGGGGAGGGGGCAACAGTCAAATTTGCAGCCTTGCTGGGTTAAATGTTTGACGCAAAATGTTTAATGACAGTGGAGGGAGGCAGTGTTTAACGTCCCCCCCTCCCCACCGGTGGCATCAGGAACATTTCCAGTGCTCTTAGAGTGTATCGATTCTTTTCTCCGTATAATTAATAGAGTTCCAGACTTTGAAGTAAAAAGATTAAATGGGAAATTTATTTTGCGAGGAAGGTTGTACATACATATAATACTCCCTCCGTCCGAAAATATTCTTCACATTTGACTTTTCATAATCTCCAATATTGCACTATTGCACTTTGACCACTAATATCTATATTTATACATAGATATATTTCATAAAAATTTAATATTTGAAAACTACGTTTCATTATGAATATATTGATATTAAATTTAAATCATGATACAATGTGTTTTTTCCACAAATCGTAGTCAAAGTTTATAAACTTTGACCAAGAAAAGTCAAATGTGAAGAACATTTCCGGACGGAGGGAGTAATAAAGTGCAAAACTAGCTCTTCTAATCATTAATCGAACCCGCACCATTATGAGATTGCATATATGCATATATATACTCCGTAGTACAGTGCCTTTTGTCTTGTCTTGATTATTTGTCCACTTTTGACAATTTTTTTAGTTAATTATTTTTAATTTTTGACCTTGAATTAAATATAAATTATATGGTATTATTAATAAGATAAAATAAAATTTTGAAAATATTGTATAAAATAAATGTGATAAATTTATTTTTGTATCAAATCTAATGTAATACCAATTTTATTTAATTAGTAAAAATTTTTTAATTTTGATCATAAAATATCAAAAACTGGATAAATATTCAGAGACAAAGGTAGTATATTACGGAGTATATGGAGGCTCTGGTGCTAGGCGACCTTCAATTGATGCTTCTCATGAAGATGAGTTGGGTGCAACTTTGGAAGAATGACTTGTACTCTTTATCTTCCCCAGCTCCAAGTCCCTATTCTTTCCTTGATGATCTGATTTTGGGACTTTTACCCCACGGTCGCGACGAACGTGACTATTGTTGTCATCATCCTCGTGACGACGATGATTAATATTATTATCATTAATGCTTCTTCTCTTGGTGCTGCACATCCTATTGACAACGCAGGCCAAAACGCTCACAACCAGTATCGCCCCGAGGATTAAAAAAGTTAATCCGAACGATCCGTTTGAATGGGACGATGACGATGAAGAAGATGGCTTCAACTGATCAGTTGATGATGGGAAGTTGTTGTTTGAAAGAACTGGGACATTATTGTTGTTGAGTGGATTAACTTCGGGTTGGAATTGTTGAGACATGTTTTTTCTATAATAATGTTTTTTCTCTAATTAAGGAAACGTTTATGAATAATGATAGGTCGAGTTTGGTTGTTTTCACTGAACTCTCTTAAAAGGGAGTTTTGTGGGTTCTTTGAGTGGACACAAAGGATAGGTTTTGGATGAAGTGGTTGGAGAGGCAAAGGAGAGGAATATGATATTTCTTCCCATGCATGCACAATTCTCCATCTCATTAATGTCTTTACAAATTACATTACAACGCAGTAGGTGTATTTTAAAAATTTTACTTAAAATGTACTCCAAAGGTTTATATTTATTTTTTTTGAATACATTAACACAAAATATTAGTGCGATCGCAAAATTTTACAATGATCTTTTGTGTGAATATAAGTTATCAATCTCGCACTTACATTTGATACAAAATACGTATGAGTGTAAATTTTTAGGGTACGTTTTTAGGAAACTTTAGGGTAAAAGTAGATTAATTGGTTACATTAACGCCCAAATTTGTTGATATATATTCTTAACACCGGGACAGTAAATTAATTAGTGACCCCTTACAGAGTTAAAAATAATATATACGTACTTCCTATGTCTTAGAATTTTGTTCAATACATTTCACCAATGGTATACGAACTTTTAGTATTATTTTATCTCAGTACATAAACTTTAATTCTCATCACAAATATACTCGGACTCTCATCATTTTTGACCAAAGGTCCATTAGGTGGTCCAAATTGACCATGAGACCAATTAGAGGTTTTGTTGGGAAATATCCCTCCTACATGGAGGAAGTGTCCAATTTTAATAGGACAACACTTTAAATCTCTCTTTTATATTTGGGCTTATTTTGTGTGTGTAAAGTTTTAGCCCAATTGTATTTTTTTATGGTGGCCCATTTATCTCTTTATGTGGCTACTAACTAATAAAAAAGAGGAAGATACGGGAGCATGAAGTGGGGAATGTGGCAGTAGCTATACGCAGAGAAAGAAGAGAAAAATCAGATTTCTGCCACACTGTGCAGCAGCCACTTTTCTCGTCCGGATCGAAGGCCAAACGAAATCCGTGCTCAAATTTTAGTATGTTGTTCCTCACATACTCCTCTTCAAATCCAACAGTCTGTTTTCTCTTTTTGATGCCCGGAAGATGGTTTTCTTGCTGCATTTTCAGACCTGCGTTTTTTGGGAGTTTTTACTCCATTTTATGGTAAATTGTTGATTGTGGTGGTGGTGCTGATTTTTGGAGTACATAGTGCTTTGTTGTTCATATCATTTATTTGGGGAAAAGATTTTATACGCTTCCATTGTGTTGTGTTTGTGCTTCCCCAACAAAGTGGTATCGGAGCTTGGTTATTTATTGGTTGGCTTATTGTGTTGTTTATTATGGATGACAAAGTAATTGTTCAAGGAATGGTTAGTTTGGACTCTATGAATTATTGAATTTGGAAAATCCGTATTGAGGATTATTTATGCTCTAAAGATTTGCTTGACCCAATTTTGTATAAAGAACGTCCAACAGGTGTTGATGAGAAAGCTTGGGCGACCTTGAACCGGAAAGCTATTGCATCAATCAGACAATATGTTTCTTTAAGTGTGTTGCAACATGTTGTTAATGAAACTAATGCTTTTGAGATGTGGAAGAAACTTGAATCCATGTACGAGAGGAACAATGCTATGGGAAAAGCTTCATTGATTAGGAAGCTTATTAAATTGCAATACAAAGATGGTGATAGCATTGTGGTTCACATGAACGAGTTTCAAGGTGTGGTAAACCAACTAGCCGGGATGAAAATGAAATTGGAGGATGAACTTCAAGCTTTGTTGTTGCTCTCTTCATTGCCCGACAGTTGGGATACATTGGTGGTCTCACTTAGCAACTCTGCTCCGGATGGCAAGATGACTATGGAGATGGTCAAGGCTAGTCTTTTGAATGAAGGACTAGGAGAAAAGAATCAGGTTACCCTTGCCAACCCGAAGCAAATGTGATTCCAGAATCTAGTAGGGGGGAAGCAAGAGCAGAAATCCTCATTAAAGAGACAAGTCCAGGGGGAGATCCAAATCCAGAAAAAGAGATTTCATTTGCCATTATTGTCAGAAGCCGGGTCACATTGACAAGTTCTGTAGAAAGAAAAAGAGAGATATGTCTAGGGAGAGAAAAGATAAAGATGAGAATTCCGAGCAGAAGCCAGAAGAGAAGAACACTATAGCCTTGGCATATAGTGATGATGACTTGTTTGTTATCAGTGATCATGGACTATTAAATGTAGCCTGTGATGACTGCATGTGGGTGATTGATTCTGGTGCATCTTATCATATTACTTCACACATGAAGTACTTCTCATCTTACACTAGTGGTAACTTTGGCCATGTGAGGATGGGAAATGATGGTTCGTCCAAGATCATCGGTATGGGTGATGTTTGTTTAGAGACTTCCACTAGTTGCAGGTTGGTGCTCAGGGATGTGAGGCACGTCCCAGATATCAGATTGAGTTTGATTTCAGCTGGTCTGCTTGATGATGATATCAGATTGAGTTTGATTTCAGCTGGTCTGCTTGATGATGAAGGTTATGCCAACAAATTTTGTGAAGGAAGATGGAAACTATCCAGGGACAGTTTGGTTATGGCTCGAGGTAAGAAGAAAAATTCACTTTGTATATGTTATGCAGGCCAGAGTATGTAGCAGAGATGCCAATGTAGCATATGATGGCTCCGGTGATTTGTGGCATAAGAGGCTTGGCCACATGAGTTAAAAGGGCATGCAGATCCTTTCCAGGAAAGATTATCTCCCTGACATTTCAGGTATGCCTTTAAACTCTTGTGTTGATTGTTTAGCTGGAAAACAACACAGAGTTGCATTTCATACTCGTCCCCCACATAGAAGAAAGCATTCTTTAGATCTTGTTCATATTGATGTTTGCTCTATGGATGCTAAATCACATCGTGGTGCACAATATTTTGTGACTTTTGTTGATGATTTTTCTAGAAAAGTGTGGGCTTTTGTTTTGAAAAATAAAGACCAGGTACTTGAAGCTTTTAAGGAGTTTAATGCCAGAGTTGAAAGAGAAAGTGGTAGAAAGCTCAAGTGTGTCAGATCAGACAATGGTGGTGAGTACAGGGGTCCATTTGAGAACTATTGCAAAAGTCAGGGCATCAAGCTTGAGAAGACAGTTCTAAAGACACCTCTGCTTAATGGAGTTGCAGAAAGAATGAACAGAACAATTAAAGAGAGAATTATGTGTATGCTATCTCATGTTAAGCTGTCAAAGTCCTTTTGGGCGAAGGCAATGTTCACTGTCGTGTACCTGGTTAACCTTTCCCCTTAAGTTCCTCTTGAAGGTGATGTTCTTCAGAGAGTTTGGTCAGGGAAAGATGTCTCCTATAAGCATTTGAGAGTCTTTGGTTGCAGAGCATTTGTTCATATTCCCATAGATGAGAGATCCAAACTTGATAAGAAGACCAAAGAGTGCATATTTTTGGGGTATTCAGAGGATGAGTTTGGGTACAGACTATGGGATCCACGTGATAGGAAAGTGATCAGAAGCAGAGATGTGGTTTTCTTTGAAGATCAGACTATTGAAGATTGTGAGAAGAAGCAGGCAAATCCTTCTCCATGCATCACAGTTGATCCAGTTCCATCTCTTCCTCCTGTTGTAGTCCCTCAAGATCATGGGGGAGATATGCATGATCATACCGTTGAGTCTCCTGCAGATGACCATCATGATGACGATAATCATGGTGATGGTGGTGATGATATTCCAGAGTCACTACCACATTCAGAGTCACCACCACCTCTGTAACGCCCCAAAACATAGTCTAAAAGTTATTCTATTATAAAAGTATTTTTTAGAAACAATATTTTGACTCAACAAAGCATTATTTCTATGTTTGACCAAAAATGAAGAAATTTTTAGAGTCAATAATTTTTGTTAAGATTGACTTTTATGGATAGGTCTTGAAGAGACGAAACCAACGGTATATTTTATGAATAAATCTTATGTACAAAAGTTCAGTTATGACATTTTAAATATGTAATTTGTATAAAAATGAGAAAAAGTCAAAGATGTGAACTTTTGTAAAATGATGTATTGAAATAAGTATTTATATTTAATAATATTGATTGAATATGAGACTAATTTTAATTACATATAAATTAATTCAATTTTGACTCTGTCAAAGTCAACACCCAAAAATATGTTGTCAGAAAAAGTATTTCAAATAAATATAAAAATTATATCATTAAATAGAGTTTGACTGTCTCATCGCAACGGTGTAAACGGATTTCAATTCGGATAAAGTTGGACCAAAAAGTGTACCCTAACTTAAGTAATTTAATCAAACTAAACTGGAAGGAATTAAATAGCAGCCGCCCCTTCCACTCACGGCAATCAAACGTAGGAACAGGGCTTCAAACTTCAAACGTAACTCCCTCTCCCTAGCCTATATATAGAGCCATACATTCTTCATCATTTTCACACCAAAATTATCCCATTAGTTAGAGGAGAGTTTAGAGAGTCGAGAGAAGCTGTCCGGAGAGCTTCCCGTTGCCGGAGCAAGCGGTGGTGTTCGCCGGAAGTTTCGCCGTTTTTCCACCGGAATCATCGTTTCACTTCAATGTAAGCCCGTAGATATATCTAGTGACTAGAATGTTCATATAGATCGTTTCTACGTTCATAAATGGTCGTTTGGTTGAGTTTTGTGTTTGACATATGTGAAGAACCAAGAATCATAAACCTTGAATTTATTGTTAAAACTTCGAATTGATGCCTCTAAAATGATCTACGAACCTTGGAGAACATTTCTATATAGTTTAATTGAAGTTTGGTGACCAAAAATGAAACTTGAGAAAAATGGGTTAGAGGTTGAAGATGATGAATAGTAACCCCTTCATCTTCCTGCACTTTCCAACGGAACGGACGACCGTTCAAACCCAACGGTCGACCGTTACGAATATTTTTAAGTCCAAAAATGCTATTTTTGAAGCTATAAAAGCCTAATTTTTTATACCAATCAATTATGATCAATATAAAAATAATTGTTAAAAATAAAAATGATGTTTTGACAAATAAAATTTTATGTGATGTATGACGGTAAGCTAAGGTGTTAACACTCGATGCTAGACCGCTATTTGTTATTGGATATTGTTAAAATTATTATTGATGTTGTTTATAATCAGACTTTGATGAATATTCTTATTAAAATAATAATTATGAATGATTAAATCATGATTAAAAATGAATATATTGATAATTATGAAATGATGTGTATTGTTAAGAGTATCTAGAAAACTCTAAGATATACCCATTTAAATAATTTATATTAAGGTTATCTACAAGACCTCTAGAATATATCTCAGATTAGAAGGGATTGTGAGAATCTGAATATTCGGTGATTTGATAATAAAAAAAATGTAACGGAACACGTAGACCAAACTAGAGGATCACTCGTTTGGAAATACTTCGACTCAATGATGATTAATTATTGTCTTATTGTTGCCTTAAACTAATTATAGTTTAAGCGTCTGAGTATTGTTTGCCTTAAACTAATTAAAGTTTAAGCGTCGGAGAACTGTTGCCTTAAACTAATTATAGTTTAAGCGTCTGAGAAATGTTTGCCTTAAACTAATTA